AATAAATATGTGCTAACGACGATCTATTGTCGAGCGCACTGCCGGAAATCGAGAGATGTTTATCGCAATCAGAATAATTACGCCGCAGAACGTGGACACGTGTGATGTAATGGCCGTTTGTATACCGCGTACACGACAATAACATGTTATTTCATACTCGAATGTTTTACGAGAATAGTAATAACTGCAAGTTGAACGAATCCTTGCTTCTCTCGTATTCTGAGCTTTCGCTCTCTTATTCTGATGACGCCGATTACGTTTTTTTTAAGGTTGATATCAGATTCAACAAGGACAGAAATTTGACTTACTCGGTGTCGTACACGCCGAAGACGGAAGGTCCGCACAAGGTGAAAGTGCTCTTCGCCGGCCGGGAGATCCCGAAGAGTCCGTACACCGTTAATGTCGAGGGGCACGCCGGTGATTCGAACAAAGTTACGGCGAGCGGACCTGGCCTGCAACCGGAAGGAGTTGTCGTCAACAGGCATACTTTCTTCGACATCTTTACGAAGGATGCCGGTCGCGGTGTACCGGAGGTCATCATTTTGGATCCACAGGTAAAAAAATCTTGATTATTCATGTGCCAAATAATAAATAAAGCGTCATATTAGATTGTGTTATTAAAATCTTCTCACGTTTAATTTTATTGCAGGGTAGTAAGACCACCGTGCCGGTGAAGCTGCGCCAAACCTCGCCAGACGTCTGGAGATGCGAGTACGTGTCACCGGTGACGGGTCTACATTCCGTCAATATTTTCTTTGCCGGCAAACCTATACCCGGAAGTCCCATCGGGGTCAACATCGCACCGGTTTCCGATGCGAAGAAATGCAGAGCATACGGACGAGGGTTGTTGTCTACCGGTGTCCGCGTGCAGGACATCGCTGACTTCGTTGTTCTCACCAAGGACGCTGGCGAAGGTGTACCAGACATTCGCGTAATCGGCCCGGGAGGGGTCAATCGACCGGTGCAGTAAGTTCAAGGATTTATCATTATATTTAAGTTGCAAAAATATCAAATTCAAAATTGATTATTAGAAATCGCATTATTAAGACTATTAAATTAAAAATCGCTTTATTACTTTTTCATTTGTTGATTTATAGCTCTTGTTGCATCTTTTAAATACTAAAATAAAAGAGAATCAATTAACGTAAGAATTATAAAAGAAATTATAAAAATTGTTTTCATTTAAATTAAAGTAAAAAGGAAGACGGAGAATATAAATGAGTCAGAGACATTTTGCACGATATTTGTACTTTAAGTTCAATTATCGATATCGACATGATGTTAAATTATTCCAGAATGACCAAAACTGATCCTACGACTTACAAATGCCATTACACGCCAGTTAAGGAAGGTCGTCACGTAGTAATGATCACGTATGGCGGTAAAGAGATTCCCAAGTCGCCTTTCGAGGTCAACGTGGGTCCTTACAAGGAATCCAACATCAGGGCTTTTGGACCCGGTCTTCACACCGGCGTTGTCGGCCATCCAGCGAAATTTACAGTGGACACAAACGGTGAGACTGGTGCCCTTGGTTTCTCCATTGAGGGCCCATCCAAAGCGAAGATCGAATGCAACGATAATGGCGATGGAACCGCCGATGTTTCTTACCTGCCCACCGCACCGGGCCAATACGCGGTCCATATCCTCTGCGATAACGAGGATATCCCCAAATCGCCTTATATCGCGACTATCTCGCCGAAGACGGGGAATTTTGACCCGGAGAAGGTAAACGCGAATCTTTGTTTTATGATTAACATTCCTTTGTTATTATATATATATAATATATATACATAAATAAATCTTCCATATTTTCTTTTTATTATAAAATATTATTTTATAGCAACGAGGAAAAAATAATTTTATTGATTTCTACATGAATTTAATACCAACCAAATTGATAATAATTTACTATTTTTATTGATTTAAGAAAGAAGTGTAACGAATGTGTTTTATAGGTTGAAGTACATGGACCAGGAATTCAGCCAGAAGGTGTTGCCAAAGATAAACCGACACACTTTACGATAGATGCGAGGAAAGCTGGTCAAGCGGCTTTGGAAGTCGCCATCCAGGATGCTCTTGGAAAAGAAGTTCCATTCAGATTAGATGAAAAGCGGGATGGTACTGTCCAAGCGAACTATACTCCTACATCCAGTTCCCAACATGTTGTGATGGTACGATCAAAATATTGATTTCTAAAATTTGATTTTTTTGCTGCACATTGTGCATATAATTTTAAAATATGTTATCTTATTATAGAGTCAGAAAATTGAAGCAATTAAAATAAAATTTTTCTTAGCAGGAAATAAAATCTGAAAACTTCATTCAAATTAAAATAAATAATTGCATAAAATACACAACGAAAGAATGATTGTTCTAAATATCAATTCAATTTGTACGCAATTTCTTAAAAATATTCTCCTTCAGGTGAATTATGGCGGAGTGGCCACGAAGAAATCTCCATATAGAGTTAAAATAGCCTCGCCTTTGAATCCAGCTATGGTCTCCGCTTTCGGACCCGGTCTTGAGAAAGGTGTGAAATCGAATATTCCCACACATTTTAACATCGACTGTCGAGAGGCTGGCCCTGGTAAATTGGATGTTAAACTGCTGAACCCTGAAGGCCGGGAACTTCCAATTTCATTGACAGATAACGAGGATGGCACATATGTCGTAGACTACATGCCCCCTCAACCAGGAAATTATACAGTGAATCTCAACTACGGCGGCTTGAAAGTACCTCAGTGTCCCATTAAAGTCAACGTTCAACCTCACGTGGACGTGTCCAAAGTTAAAGTGGATGGTCTGGAATCAAGTGAGTACACAATTATCAAAAATCCTTTAAGTATCGCTTAATATTTCGATTACCATGCGCTGTCAGTTTAGTTTCAAAACCGGGTTTAATCATTTGATAAACATGTCACTAATCGCAAATATGCTCGAATCAAGATATTATACACAACGTCTTGACCCACAAAGCTAAATACCCTGATATAATATCATGTTTCAAATGACTATAAATTTGATGACGAATTTCAATTCAGTTAATACACCTTTTTACCTTTTATTATTATTATAATTTTTACATAAATAAAATATTTTTTTATTTCTTTTAAATTGTTACATGTAAATTTATAAATAAACTTGAATTAATATTATGCATATCATAGACTATTAACAAGAAATTTTTATGAATATTTTTTATCGTTACATAATCGCATTTAGTTTATCGAATTACATAATTACCGTGCGTGATAAAAATTTTATGTTTATTAAGTTTTAATTTTACTCATTAAAAGACTAGAGAGGAAGTAGTGAATACAGTTAATTCTTTCACGACTGAAAGATGATCTGATGCTTAGATAGATGCACTTGCATTGCCTTCGTTGGAAGTGCACCGAAATCGCTTTTTTCAGCGATTATTAAGAAGTTTATTAATTTTCGCCTCGCGGTATGATATTTTTTTTCCGGTATCTTTTCGAAATATCACAACGCGCGGATCCAGCCTAGATTTTCGAAATACACGTTGCCAAGGTCTTTCCGCGGATAGATGTTTGTTGTTGGAGCGCGAACCGATGGTTTATTTATAGCTGCGCTCGCGAATTCCTCGCGGACGGTTGACACGCACACAGTTTCGCATTTCGTCTAAAAATATTGCACTCGATGCTCCACACGTTGCGCTTTCCATATAATTTTACCCGGAACTCCGCGAAGAAAGCAGTTCCGTCGTTTCGATGATGAAATTGAAAAAAAAAAAAATGGCAATGCGTTTTTTATAAAATCGCGGCATACGTTTTTATATAAAAATAAATAAGTACGTCTGCACGCTGAATAATAATATTCGTTGTAGCCGAATGCACTTCTAGTAAGCTGTAACTACGGGAGATCCCTCTTATTTGGAATACGCTCTGCCTAATTTACACGCGCATTGTGGGCTTATGTATGCAGCAAGCGGCTTTCTCTCATAACAACGATGCATATTCAATGCATATTTGCGATCTAACCGTTCTACACCGCGTACACACGCGGTAAATGGAATTTCGCGCGACGAACGTCCAACCGTACTTGTTGGTGAATGCTCGCTGTATCAAATTGCACGTTACGATTGCATTACGATTGATCATCGTGCCGGTGCCACGTGCCAGTCATTTCCCCGTTGGTTCAATTTCTATTGACGATCATCAATCCCCTCTTCGTCCCCCTTCGATCTCACCAGCAAGTCGGCGCGACGTCCGCTCGTCGCTCGCGCTCGGGCCACGTTGTCCCGTCACGTAAGCACAAGCGAAAGACGCATCGCGGCTCACCACGAGACCCCGCAAACGTCCTCGCAGCGGCCCCGGTGAACAGCCTGCAGCAGTTCCGCGTGATAACCCAGGAAGCGGGCAGGGCGGCGGACTTCCAGGTAGCGATCACCGCGCCGTCCGGCAATCGCGTCAAGGCGCACGTCGTGCCGAGCCACGAGGGATACCTCGTCAATTTCACGCCCACCGAGCTGGGCGAGTATCTGCTCGGCATCAGCTTCGGCGGCGAGCCGATCTCGAATCAGCCCTACCGGCTCACCTGCGTCCACGGCTCCGATCCGGGCAAGGTGCGCGCTTCCGGCCCCGGTCTCTCCCACGGGGTGGTGAACAAGCCGGCCGAGTTCGTGATCGACACACGCGGCGCCGGCCAGGGCGGCCTCGGCGTGACCGTCGAGGGACCCTGCGAGGCCGCGATCAATTGCAGGGACAACGGCGACGGCACCTGCTCCGTCGCCTATTTGCCTACCGAGGCCGGCGACTACGGCATCAACATCACCTTCAACGAGCAACACGTGCCGGGCTCGCCCTTCCAAGCCATCGTCGTCCCGGACGCGGATCTTTCGAAAATCAAAGTCAGCGGAAACGGCATCCAGCCACACGGTACCGTTTAAGGACGTCAGCACGGAGATCGTTTTGCGATTGGAAATTGCTGAGAGATTGCTGTGACTTGCTCGTCTCTGACTTTGCGCGATGAGTTTCGAGTAACGCGCCTCGGAATTTTCTTGGGATGACTTAAATTAATGATTTATTTCGATGTATAAAATTTTATATTGAATTTCACGGAGCATGACATGGTCTGTGCATGCGGAATGATTCATTTTAATCGGTTTTGTCTGGCGGGTTGCATGCATATGACACCTCACCTGAGAAAAAAATCGTCGCGATTGCAATCGGAAAAAAAAAATTTCTTTAGATTAAAAAAAAGGATTGAAAAGTCCCAAGAGATTATTCTGAGATGCATTGATTTTTGATGCATGTGTGTTACCATTGCACTTTTTTCGATTATTACAACATCCCTTGCTTTAGACTTTTCACAGTTTTCGATGTATATATATCTGCTCTAAGCAATTTAAGTGCTTTGAAAAATATTTGAGGGCATGTTTATAAGAAGTAAAAATACATACAAAATAAAAATTTTTAAATGTATTTCTTTTTATGATCATGACTCTATTATTAATTTGAACTAATGACTGAAATCCACTGCTATAAATAATAATCTTATTGTGATCTTCTTTTCTATGTTATTGTGATCTTCTTTTCTATGTTAGTCATTATTTAGAGATGTTAGATTATTTAGAGATTGTAATTATATTTTACATATTATTTTAAAATATGCGCTTATATATTGCCATTTTAATAATAATTTTTTTAATTAGATATTATATTCTTTTAATATAAATAAACCATAAATGTTATATTAGATAATTCATAATAATGTATTTAGAAAAGAGAAATGATTAGAGAAACATATCTGAAAAAAATCACATATTTAATATAAATTTATTACGATACAATAGTAATGTAGTATTCTAATAAATTATATTAAATAATTATATTAAAAATTTATATTGTATTGTAATCAGGGTTGAGAAAGTTACTTTTGAAAAGTGATTTATTATTGTTATTTATCTATTGTAAAAAGTAATTCATTACTCTTTCATTTGCTCATTAAAAGAAATAACTTGTTATACAATTATTATTGCATAAAATAATAATGAATTGTTACAATTTTCATTACTTTTTCTTCAAATTTTGAAACTCTTTTTCTCAGATTCGCTCGTGTTTTATTTTATATATTATATATATGGAATGTAATACCAAAGTAATGGTAAAAGTAATGATATCATTATTAGTAAAAATATAACGTCGTTATTTAAAAAGTAACTATAATGATAACGACGACTTTACAAGTAATGCATTATATCTCAACCCTAATTCAATCCTTAATAGCAATATTAAATTTCTACAAAAATCCAATTTAAGATTTAGAAATACACGTCTTACATTTTCAGTATTAGCAAATTTCAGCTTTAAAGAATGCAGCTTCTAAAAATACATTGACTACTTCATCAAGAATTAATTTCAAACTTTAACGCATGAAAAAAATATACAGTTCAAGATATGCATAATTCTTTAGAATAATGAAACTTAATTTTTACAAAATTATTTGATATGTGTATTAGACAAATTTTTAAAAAAAAAAAAAAAAAAAAAAAACAATTTATTTGAGTATCTTGACTTAATCGTATCGTTAATCGCATCTTGCAGGTTTATTCGTGAACAAACAAACGACTTTCACGATTGACACGAGAGACATCGCCAAGTCAAAGACCGACGATGGTAAAGTGTCCTGCACTATAAATAATCCCAGTGGCGGAAAGACCGAGAAGCTGATTATCCCTCAGGGTGACGGCACCTACCGTGTCAGCTATACCCCTTTCGAGGAGGGCTGCCACACCATTGACATTCTCTACGACAACGTACCCATCCCGGGTTCGCCATTCTCCGTGAACGTGCAACGTGGCTCCGACCCGAGCAAGTGCAGAGCGTATGGTCCTGGATTGGAGAAAGGCATCGTGAACAAGACAAATCGCTTCACGGTGGAAACCAGAGGTCTGTAAGCCAACATCTCGATCAAACAAATTTTTTTGTTCTATACATAATTTTATAATTTAAATCATTAAAAACACACACACACACACACGTAGACGAAAGTATTCTCCTATGACAGAGAAAAACCAAAAAAGAGGAAACAGATGATAGAACGTGTACGACTTTCTTCGCAGAGGCCGGCAATGGCGGTTTGGGTTTGTCAATTACGGGCGACGGGGAGGTCAAGGCAGAGGCCAAGGACAACTACGATGGTTCCTGCACCGTTGAATACGTTCCCACGGAACCTGGGGATTACGAGATTGGCATCAAATTCGCCGAGCAGAACATACCCGGCTCGCCGTTCAAGATCGAAGTGGTATCGGACTCGGAGGCGAGGAACGTGATTGCTTATGGACCTGGTTTGCAACCGGAGATGGTACGCGAGGGTGTACCCGCCAAGTTCACGGTGGACACGTCCAAGTGCGCCAAAGCGGCACAGCTGGACGTGAGGCTGTCGACCGACAAGGGACAGGCGCAGAAGCCGCAAATTAAGAGCAAAGGTGACGGTCTGTATGAGGTGACGTATCAGCCACCGCCTGCAGGCAGTAACGTGCACGTTGGCGTCACTTACGACGGCGAGGACATTAACAGTAGTCCGTACAAGATAAAGGTCTTGCCCACCGTGGAGCCCAACAAGGTAACTCTATCGGGTCCCGGCGTGTCACCAGTCTGCACCGCGTCCTTCCCAACTGACTTCGTCGTAGACACTTCCAATGCTGGATACGGCGACCTTGAAGTGCAAGTTGTGGTGAGTAGTGTTCGCAAGATGTTTCTCATATCCGTGTACATATAGCATCTTATATTTACGTATTCGATACGGAGAAGTTCCACCAGTTTTTTATAAAAATAGTTTCTAAACTTATTATTGAAGCTAATTGATAGTAGAAAAATAAAAATTTCTTGAAAATGTTACATGTTAAAGTGAAATATAATTAAATCTTTTTATATTTTTCTTTTTTTCTAAATGAATTTTTTTATAATCTTGAAAGCCTACAGACTATAGTCACGGATGTTGAAAATGTATTTTTATGAGAAATCACTCCGATATCTCAAAATTTTACTCCGCTGGATCTTCGCTAAGGGAGAAATAAGTGTGGAATATTTTTCAGACGAAGTTGCAATCATCCTTTTAGGGATCAGATTGGAAATTTCATTATTTTAATTTTTAATTGTGAAAATCTTCTAAAACATTAATCTCACTGATCTATTGTAGCATTGGCGACACAACAATAATTAGGCAAATTTATTTTATAAGAAAATTATATTATTATATATTCATTAAAATATATTACATTTATAACAATTAAAATTAATTGATCCTTTATATCTAAACATATTTAAATTCACTTTTACAACAAATTATTAACAATGTTCAATATTGTAATTATACATGATAATGGCGATAATTGTGACAAACTTAAAGAAATATTAAATCATATTAAATTGAACAATTTTTATTAAATAATTGCCTCAAGCGATGCAAAGATAAAAGTCTGTATTGGGTACTTTCTAATAACAGCACAAATCGACAAGTCTAGTTATATCATCTTTTGTTCTGGTTCTTTACCGAATGTTAAACAAAGACAAATAATGATATAACTAGACTTGTGCCAATTTGTGTCTCTTATTAGAAAGCATCCACTTTTAACAATAAAAGTGCTTCTAAAAGTGGCTTAGAAATTATCTGATTGGCTGAGAAATCACATTTAAAGTAAAGTACTTTTATCGATAAAAGTGAGTTCGGAATATGAATTAAAATTCAATATACAAGAAAAACAATTCTTCATATTTTTAATAATATTGTAATTTATTTCATGACTTGATAATATTATTCAAAATCTTAGGCACGATACACAAAATTTCCAATACATTCAATTCAACATCAGAATATAAGAACATTATACAAGATATTTTCGATTTCACCACTAATGATTTGACCTATCATTTTGTATTTCGATAGATTTTTGAAAGTTTTGAAATTATTTAGGAACATCAATCAAAATTTTCGCTTTTGCTTACCAGTAACAAACGTTCGTATTTATTACCGCACATTCAATCCGTCCGAAGGACAGATATGTCAAACAACCCATAGAAACCCATAATGAAACGATTAATAAGTCGCATGAGCAATCATGCTCGTAATTTCACAGTTAATTAATGTCTTCCTGTGTCGTTTTCAGGGACCGGACCAAGTACCGCGCCGGGTAGAAGTGCAGGATCTCGGTGACGGAAAGTACAAGGCGACCTATTTGCCGGACGACTGCGGCCGGTACAAGGTCAACGTGAAATACGGCGGCAAGGAAGTGCCAGGCAGTCCGGTGAACGTGCAGAGCGTCTCCACCGGCAAGGCGGACCAGTGCAAAATCAAAGAGGGCATTCAGCACACCTTGGCTCAGGGCGAGGAGTACTGCATCACCGTGGATACCGAGAATGCAGGCCGCGGTGCAGTGACCTGCCGCATCCGTTCCACTTCCGGAAGGTGAGCACCCCGCGTGATCCGCCTCGGATTTAAATCCGACTATTTCAGAGAAGATGAATCAGTGAGTGGCGACATTGCGGGAGTCTTGAAAATTCACTTCGGCAGAGTTGCCGAAAACAGAGTTGCGTTCGGCCTCATTCCAAAGTCTGAGACTTTACTTATTATCATATATGAAAATGTCATACAAATAACAATTCAAGTAAAATTTTTATGCTACTATTTTATGCTACTTTTATTATTATGATTATAATACACATAAAAAATATTTGTAAAATCGGAAAAAATAACATTATATTTACACGTATATTGTATGTTCATCAATTAGAAAGTACTTTATTTTTAACTTTATATATTTAATTTTAATTTGTTTGTATCCTTAATATGTCTTTGTTCATTTTTTTCGTAGAAAATGTTTTACAGGTAAGCTTCATTTCTTCATGCCTTCCATTAAATTTTTCGCATTTTATATTTTTTTTAGTTTCCAATAATAATATTTTTTCTCACATTGTCTTTCATATCTAAATCAATTTTATGTTACAAGCATGTATGTGAAGGCGGTGCATATTTTTACATTCGCATTCTTCACCTTTGCGTTTTTCGATCTTCAAGATTCCAGACAAAAATTCCATCTTATTTTAAATACGTCGCGCCGTCGCGACCAATTTATTTTCAATTCATAAGCAGACTCAAGAGAGAATTTTCTTATTCCTACATCTTTATTCTATAAACATTAATGAAATTGTAATAAATTATTAGTTTAACTCTTTCCCATGATATTATATATATTTTACATATATTTTTATATTTTATATTTCTTATATATATATATATATTCTTCATTTTACTGAACTATCATAAATTATTTCTCTAAATAATCAATGCATTCGCGCTTTTTGATATTTTGCAATTCAATGGTAAGGATGCAATAAATCAGCGGATTTACTATATTGACTAAATAATTTAGAGAGGCATATTCTTACGCTTTAATAATTTAAACCGTATATTGCGATTAGATCTGAGGTGTAAAAGCGTTAATGAGTAGTCGGCCGTAAATCGTGTAACAAATCCGGTTGAAATCAGGATCATGGCACGTTGCCATTATGAACATCATGTATGAGGTGGTGATATGTTGTTCGTAGCAAATTCCCGACCAGTCATACGCAATATCCAATGTTACCGTATCATAACATTGAAATTAAATGTCGGTTTAATCCGAAAAACAAGATATACCTTTAATAACTTGGCGCCGATAACGAAGAATAACGCTGAAGGAAATGATTATTTAGAAAGCATTAAATTTGACTTCGTAACAATATTTATCAATGGCAAAATGAGAAAACTTTTTTGCGCAATACTCATTTTTCAGAACTGGCTTATAATTACTATATATATGCAATCCTTGTTTTTTGAGACTGATTTTGTACTACTCGTTAACATTTAAGTAAATACTACATTAATTATAAAATGTTGCATATTCTAATTGTTCTGATGGCAGATCACTTTATATGCTTTTTATGAAAACAAGTCATTGGAATTTCGTCGCAAAAGCTTGTCATCTGTGTTGACCGCATTTGTTCATCCATTTGTTTCGTGGTGACAGTTGAATTGGATCAAATGTAAGCCCACTTTATTATTCAACATGTTAACTTTTTATTCTATCTATCAAAAATTTTGTAAACTAAAGAAAATTGCAAGATGTTCAAATTTCACATAAAATCACATCTATAAAATAGGAATAGAAAAAAAGATTCATAAAATTGATATAGTTTCAGACAATTTTAATTATAGTACGAAAAAGTTAAATGATAAATCTTATAATGAGAAAAATAATCATTTTTGTTTCATTATCCGCTCACATTAAAATAATTTTTATATCCGTGTAATTATGTCTCGTTTATTACAATGTCACAAAAGTGGATATCGTGCACCCGCGCGATTATGTCCTTCACGAATATTTTGGGATCTCTAGAGAGACTTGCATTTCCTATCCTACTTACGTATCGTGAGAATTCACGTGTAACCTCAAAAAGATTGTCACAACTCTAATCAAATCGACTATAAATGCATTCTGAACGATGAGTAGTGCATACAGCTGTTCCCTCATAATTCATCCATGATATTTTATGTTGGCAGTGAGGATCTTCTGTCGAAAAGACATTTCAGAACGGGCCAAATTCTTTATCCTAAGTGTACCAAGTGACAAGATGCCATGTTGTGTCTGGTGTTCCCTATAATAAGCACATAATTTTCCAATTATATTTCAGGTGTTAAAACTATGTCCTATAACAAATTAAAATTTATAGTTTAATAAGTAAAGTAGTACGAAAATGTAAGAATGAATTATTAACATAGTGGATCTTTTCCTTTATTTATCCTTTTGCAGTTTGTAAATGTTATTTTTTTACGTTATTTTATGTAAAGTTATGAATTTTTGCACTTGAAGATAAAAAATATTCAAATAAATTATCATTCCAGTTTAAATGTATGCGAAAAGATATTTTCTATAGGACTTTAAAATTATCTTTTATTGTTATGATAGCCATACTTTATTAAAGAAACAAATATGATTTTGTTTAAATATAAAGTAAACGCACAAGAGTGTTTCGTTTGAATATACAGTTTTTTTTTTTTTTTCATAAAAGAAAAGAAAGGATCTGTAAAGAATCTTTTTTAAGCTGCTTATTTTACTGGAGATTAAAAAATTTGCATAATTATGATTAAAGTTGCGAGAAAATAGGTGAAGTGTCGCATGGCTACTGAATGAAATTGTAGCGGAATCATAACAATATGCACGAAAATTTCTTGAATGGACCACTGTTCTATATTTTAATCTCTGAAATAATACGTCTCGGTTTGTGATTTCAGCGAAGTCGTTGACATTGACATAGAAGACAACGGCGATGGCACAGTTAACATTTACTACACTGTCGCTGATGCGGGAGACTACACCCTTAGCATTAAGTTTGGCGGTCAACCCGTGCCTGAAGGATTCTACACCTTTACTGTGAGTAATCGCCATGTTTCAAGTATTTTATAATCTACTTTGTATATATTTATTACTTTTTCATTTATTTCTTTTCCATTTGAATGAGAAATATAAAGTTCGAAGCATACAAAGTTCTTTATCTGGCGCATTTCAAAATAATTAATAAAAAATTAATTCTCCCCTTTCTGCGATTAAAATAACATTTTTTTAAAACATTTTTGAAAAATTTCTTGAAAGCTCCTTAAAATTTTTCTGGAAGTTTCTAAAGTTTGTAATTTTTTTTTTATTTAAAGTAAGTTTTTATTTTTTATTTTGTTATTTGTTTATTTTTCTTACTAAATTAATTCCTATTTTAAGTTATATTTACCGAAGTAAAAATCTCTTGAGTTGTCTCAAATATTTATATCACAAAATGCCTCGATAAATATGTCAGATTTACTCAGTAAAATACAAAATAATTACATGAAATTGGATGTGCAGTAATTAATCAAAATTGGATTGGATAATATCACCTGATAACACTATAATTTTTCTCTCATCCTATGGAGGAATAATGTATTATATAATACAAATGTGGAGATCAAATTTGTAAGTTACACGTTCAATAATAATAGTCTCGCTGCAAAACGAGAGCGTTTGCGAAAAAACGAGCGTTTGACACACGCTACGGACATTTCCTTGCTAATGTCGGCTCCTTTGAAGTGTCGCGAGGACAAGGGGCGGCGTTGCGTAGAGTAATCGTCTTCTCGTAATCGTCTTTCCGATGCCGATCCGGGTGCCCGGTGCTCTCGTCGACGACGAGCCCCGGGTGGGTGGGGCGCGAGGTGTATCTAACTATAGAGGCAACACGTAGTGCAGGATATTGTCGCGTAGTCTCCAGCGAAACAGTCCACTGCGAAGGCTCATCGGGACCACATCCGCAGCTGGCTCGTTATCGCACGAATCCTCGCCCGTCATCGCATGGACCTAGTCGCGCTGTAACACGAATTCCGCTCCAAGTAACACTCACAAACAGCGCACACACACACACACACACACACACACACACACACACACACACACACACACACACACACACACGCACATCTTTATCTCTCGCCATATCTTCTCCGTACAATCCTCCCCACCTTACGCGCCAGCTATATGTGTGTGTGGGTGTGGGTGGGTGTGTGGGTGCATGTGTGTCTGTATGTGCGCACGCATGTGAGTGCTGCCGTCGTCAAGTGGTCCAGAGTGCCTCCGATCGCAAATACTGGAACGCCATTAATCTACACAAAATGTAGAGCCACGAAGAATTTTTATTAATCCTCCGGACGTTTGGCTGCTCGAACTATCTCGAGCCAGTATCGTAAAGATCAGAAACACAAATACATACACAAAATATACGATTTTTTTTTCGATATATCATATATTCTGGAATGAATTAACCTAAGAATTTGATATCGTCTTGTGTCGTATTTAATCATTTATCTATTCTACTTATACTTCATTGGAAAGTATAGTTCAATATTATTTTAAATATTTTTCACTTACTTACAATTAAAAAAATGGGATTCTTATTATTAATTGATAATTAGCCTGTTCTGTCTGAATTGGACAGTTTTTTTCACTAATCATCAGTAGAGAAAAATTGATATGGTCAGACATCCGTCTAATACTGTCTAAAAGATTATTTTTTTTTATATTTTCTTAGATCTTATAAAATTCACCTTTTTCTGATTTTTTTAATCTAAGTTTTATCTGATTTGATCGTCGGTTTCCTTTACCTTAAAACCCGGTTATCTCAATGAAAAGAAAAACGCGACTTATGAAACGTGGTGTAAGCTGGTGATATAAATGCTTGCACATTCGTGCAACCGCCTCAGCGTTGCCTTTGCGACATTTGCTCAATTAACCTACTAAAAACTGTAATACTTGAAAACAATCATTGTATTAAGATGCATGATTTTCTTTCTTTGACGCATAAATTGAGTCAAGTGTTTGCGCTATTTTCGATTCTAAAATCTTTGTTGCAAATTCGCAATCCACTTGTAATCCACTACATTCGAATGAGCCGTATGCCAGAATAACAATCCAAGAAGTCACAAAGATTTGCTAATTATTACGCTTTGATTTAATTATTGATGATTTAATTATTTTAGTTATAATTTTATTTTCTTCACATATTGATGTAACGTTTCTTTCTTTTTATATTTATCTCTGTTATATACGAAATAAAAAAATAATAATTGGAAGTAAAAAGCAAATAATAATAGTGTTAGTAAATATTGTAAAAAAGAAAAGAAAGATAAAATATATTTTTATTCATGATTGATAGAAATAGCACCGGCATCTAATATTATTATACATTGAAGAAATTTGTATTGCACGCTAGAGTGACAGGTAGCGTCACGCATCGTAACTCTTCGCGACTGCCGCGTATAAATAATGTGTCCAAAAGTGCACGACGAGTGCTTGGCGATCGATCTATTGTCTAATAAGATGACATCTAGTAAGATGCCTGTCTCTACGCAATCAATCATGTTCTTCGTGGCCAAAGCCATAATCCATTTTGAAATTCAATACGCATCTCGATGCCGTCCATACGAGAGCTCCTAGACTATTTCGAGTGCGACTCCCAAGCTTCCCCAAATTTATAAGCGGGAACGGAGTGGGTGGGCCGAGGGAGACGAGGAAGTGAATTAATGCCGTGAGTTAAATTAAACCCCGTGCCACGATTCACAACGATGACTTTGTGCGACACATTCCTTTTGACGGCCGACGCTGATGTTCGTCATTATTTTCCGCTTTATCTGCCGAATCGATCGCACCTCGATCCGAATTTTCGAAACAATCATCAGGAAGATTTTTTGCATTTTTTTATTCATTTTTCTATAAATGAAGATCTTTGATATTTTATATTTTTTGCATCGGCAAATTTATTAGTTTCATTAAAGGAACTGTAATTCTCACACAAAAAGGGGGACGGCAATTAAGAAATTTTCAATATGGATTTCAGCAATTAATTAATTAATATTTATTTTGTTATTTTTAATAATATATGCCATGATTTAAAAAATGATATGCATACGAAAGAGCAGCATAAATAATTGCTGACACTTCGTAAGTGTCGGTCCACAATAAATATTTAATCTTTAAGTCGTAAGAAATTGACCAATCCTAGTCGATTATTCTTTTCATATTCGATTATAATTGGTCAATTTCTTACTTCTTAAGCTTAAATCACCTATTGTGAACCGACACTAAGGCATTAAGAAAACTATAAATCTCTTACTTTAATGTCAGTTTAATATAGCTGATCTGGTCGTAAACAAAAACGTGACATTATTTGGGATTTATCCAAATTTACTGTTGTTCTGAATACAAATCGTGTATCTAAGATTTCGCGACTTTGTGTGGTTCACTTCAAATTACAGATATATTTAAAATATTATAAACTACATTATTTGTTTTGACGATTTTACATATATCATTATTTAATAATAAACACGATATAATATTGAGCAATCAAGTCATCATTTAAATAGCAAGCAAACATTACAATTTCATTCTAAATTTTAAGAAGCGATATATTACATGTTATTATATTTTGATCGCGTTAAATTATATATATATATATATATATATGTATATTCATAATTTTATATTATATATAAATAATAATTTTGCTATTAAAAGTTTTTATTTTTATTAAAAGTTTTTTTACGCACAAATATATAATCTTAAGAATTATTATAAAAAGTCGATATTACTGGTAATATCGACAATATTTCTTCGTTCCAATGATTCATGAATTGTTACTCGTATGCTCATCTGTATTTGTGATTGCGATAAAATACACAAGTGAATACACAATCGCTTTGTATTCTCAATTCTTTTGTAATGTATATGAGTGGGGGCTGGGTATCTATTATAGTACATGAAATTCAGTATTGTGCCCGAAATTACCGGTTGGATACTAGAGAGGCGCGAGTTTCGTGTCGGCCACCGACGTAGCTGGGCGTTCCCTCGTAAATTGGGAATTGGGAAGTCAAAACGTGAGTTCTGGTTGTCAGATCAAATAGAGGAGAGGAAGGATCCGCAGCGTCTCCGGGAGGCTTAGAGTATGGCGCCGATCTTGTCGCAGTCGTTGCGATCATTTTCGGACTGAGTGAGTGATACGAGTGATCGCAATAAGCTGTCGGTTAGATAAAAAAAATGATATAAATTTGCGCGAACTAGTTGAAGTAATAATACATTTATTACGAATTTATTCATATATAGCATTAAAGAATTTATCATATGTAGCGTTATAGAAAGATGCTTTAACGGATCTTCATGCTACATGCTCTCTTGTAATCTTTCCAACTAAAAAGAGAAATAAAGAGAGAGAAGTATGATTTGGATGAAAGATAACGATATAAATGATTTTCGAGAAAATAGAAATTTCAGAATTCAGTATTTTCTTGGAATATATAATTTAAACGTTTCATCCTGCACACATACAAAGAAATAAAAATGTCATGTATAAAATTAATAATTTTCTATGTTTGTATATATAACTTATGAGAGAGAGGAACATGTGACATACGGTGCAGAAAATTTTGTATTAAGAAAAAATTATCTAATAATTTTCACTTATAAGAATTAAGAAAAAGACGTTTTATGTAGAAATATCATTTTGATATCACGTTGCATTTTGCACCATGAAAGCGACTATTTATATAGCACGTTCAGTATCTCCCCGAAAGCTAATTTTGGTTTCAGCTGCAATATTGCGTCTCGATGATCAACAGGCTTCGCATAATATTTCGTACCTATTAATTGACAGCAACATTTAATGGATCCTCCTGAACGGGCTTTGTATGTCTTTAACCGAAGAATAAGATTTCTTTCTGCAAGACAACATGAACAAATATTAAATAGCTTCAAATATTCATTATACATATGTGATATTTGCATATCCTTTAAGAAAAAAGATATTTTTCTTAAATTCTTTTTCTCTCTGTTTTTTAATTTTATAGATAATTAATATAGCTTTTAATTTATTACACAGATTAAGCGAAATTATAATTTCTATAGGAACTATTTTCTGTAAAGCTAAGTATTGCTTTATTTTATCACTAGAACCATTATAGCCGATTGAATTTAAACGTAACTTGCGACTTACGACACAACATAAATGCAGCGAATTACTCTCGTATAAGTTCATTATAGATGCAGACTTTTCGCGATGATGCGAATTTTGCAATAATTCTAATGTGGTTATATAATAAATTCTTTACACACATCATATTTTGGCTTGCGACCAACATCGAAATACGTAGATTTCTATCGTAATGAGATGTAACGTATAAACCATCTCCCGATTCCGAAAATTCCTGCACTTCTCTTTCCTGTGAAGATTTCACAAGAATTTTATTAGCGCTTCGTAAAAAATATAAAAAAAAATGCTTTTTCTAATGTCTGGCATTGCTCCAGTACCGAAATATTTTATCGATCATGCGATATCGCGATCCATTGTCGCCTTCGTTCACGTTGTAATCCAGTCACATTTTTATTAACAGCCTGTAAATCTCCTTTTTTACAAAATAAGAAAAGAATTTAAAAAAAAAAATAAACAAATTTCGCTTTAATATATTTAGCTGAAACGCAATTATTTACATTGTCGAAAAATATATTTATTGTATCAATTACTGCACAATAGATTATTATATATTTTATTTAAAAAATATACAATTGTTTGTGGTCTAAAATGTTTCAAATTTCAAATGCTAAAGAACATTTAGATATTAATGTTGTCAACTGTTCCCTCAATCTCAACCGTGACGTTTCAGGCATCCGAAGAATATCGGGAACATAGCACACACAAAACACAACGAGGTCGCAAGTCACGGCAGAGGCAGAATCAACACGTTGTCGAGCAGCGCAGCAGCTCAACTTTACAAGAGAGCTCTACTGTTACTACAAAGCGTAGCAGTCAGCAAGAATTATCGAAGAAAAACTTCAACCTTATTCGATTGAACTCCATTCCTCTACCTATTGCCAGCGGTGGCACAGTTACCTGTAAGTAGTATTTTTCCTTCCGTATTTCAGGAATTCTTTAAATTTTCTTAAAATTTTGTGTTTTGCCTTATTTATTTCAAATTTAATCTGAAAGATCTTTTAATAATAATTATTATATAATATGATGTTATATGATAAATTTCGATCGCATGCTACGATTGGTTGGACACTAGGAAATACGAAAATCTTTGTGGTATTAATTTAACGATTTAACATCTTTCTCTTTTATAGGATAGAATAAAGTATTAATAATAATTTTTTTATAAAAACATAGGTATTTTGTAATTTTAACACATAGTGCAGTAACGCGATGTATGACTTAATGTTGCCTCGTACTACCGCGTCTAGATAAAGATAACTTGAGAACGTGACTTACAGTAATAATAAATTTCAAAATTAATTAAATCTGGTTAAAATTAATTAATATTGGACAGAGTTCGGTCTGTCTGACTTATTATTAGCTTACATTATTGTAAACGACACACTGTTCTCTTCATCTGAGCGATATAGCTCGTTCTCTTTAGTACTTTGCTTTCCATTTAAACAAAATTTTAAATTATTTAATGAGAAAAGATTTGATCGTGAGAAAAATTTTTAACTAATTAAAAAATTAAATTTTTCTATAAATATAACAGGTAATGTTTAGTGATATATACTTCGAAATTGGCGTATTTTTATGATGGACAGATTTGTTTTATAATTTGGTTGCACATAAAATAAAACAAACTTATTCTCGACGTGATCGAAACTGTAAATAATATGGACATAGTATTTTCACGGTTAGTTAGTTTATTTAGTCTATTTTCTATTATTAGTTTAACTAGCAATAGTCGAACGTACGGCTGGAACCTATTCGCTGCGCAGAAATAAATCTTGAATTTTACTGCGCAACGTGCGGCTGCGTTGCTCTCCTGAGATTTTACGACGCGAATTCTTCCATCCAAGACGGACGCGGCGCGTTTTACGCCCTCTTAAATTTTTCTGTGATTGAAATTTCCTTTCCCCCCCCCCCTTTCCCGCAAATGATTAATGCGTAAGTCAACTTTACGTACCTATTTAAGAGACATTACGACGGAAGGATGCATCATCATTAATCATGCGTGTGCGCTTCGCAGTGCGTATTCGACTTCTCGTACCCGCGTGTACTTGATGACTTGATGAGTCCGATTGATTAATGACCAACGACATGCAGCTAACGTCTAACACTTTGAGATCAAATCAGAAACTCTAGGATGATAAGTCAATTGTCGTTAGATAAATGGAGCAACAGAATTAAAATCTGCAAATGATATTAAATTACTAATCAAGCTTTAAATTTATTACCTGAAGGATTCAAAAAATTACTTCTAATTAAATAAATATAATAATAATTTTTAATTAAATAAAAATTTCTCTGATATTTCTTAGCCAAGTGAGTAGGTAAACTTCTTAGCATTGTGGACATTAATGCGTTATGCGATGAGCGAAAGAGTTTACTCTTGACGGACGATGTTATTCCGATAAATAAGCGAGCGGCGACGAGTAATGCGATTCAATTACGCGTTAATGTTTCGCGGTTGACCAACGTTTCGCGCGTTCAGGAAGCCAGTCAAATGACAGACATACGACGGATTCATATTCGCGCTTTATTCACCACCCTGCCAAAAATATGGCGAGCTGGACAGGCCGGCGCGTGGAAAGGACGGTATGTATGTCGGATAAGCGCGACGCACTGTCCGCGATATTAATATTGGGTGATTAAGTGGCTCCGGATGCGGGTGCCCGTGGTTGGTCCGAAGCCGAGCCTCGAGATTCCCGAACGGCCGAGGATGATAGCGGGTCCAGAAAAAGACCAAATCCCTCCCACGTCCACGGCCTGCTTCTTCGTCCACCGGTCCAGGCGGCTCTTCACGCCGCCCGGCGCGCGAAATTCAACTGGAATTCGATTTTTCGGTCGACGAACTCGCGCGTTTTCATTCCGGACGGTGGTTTTTACACCTTGCCAAGAGATTAATATCTCGTTGCTGGAAGTTGCCCGTTGCGATCTTTCTTCCGCATTTCCAGTTCATTAAATAAATGTTATTTTTATTTCTCGAAGCGTAAATTGTGTATGGGAATGCAAAGACGGAAGTCGTTCGATTGGAAGGTCACTTGTTTAAATTAAATCATTGATTTTCTGAGCGGAAATTAGCGGAGTTGATATCTTCGATGAGTTTGGACGTGCGCCGACACGCGCTGATAACTTTTGACACGCGAATAATGTTGTAACGGTGGAGAGTCACGCCTGTCCGCAATTAGTCAGACCCGGCCGACACCCCAAATCCTCTTCATCATAGCGGCTCTGGCGTGTATTAAATGCGCGCCTCGCATGCAAACTGGATCGCTTGCACGACGCTTTCCTTCGGTAAACGAAACGGCGATCACGGAAGCGTTATGCCGGGACGTTATGCGCCCAAATCTCCGATTTGTCTATCTTGAGAATTCCGGGATTCCTTCCACGTGATAACAATTTACGTAACCCCCCTGTAAAGATGAGCGCGAAGAAACGGGAAAGAATCAGAAGAAAATATGCAGGATTATTTTAAGAATATGTGCGTTAAGGGAGATTTCTTTGCGACTCTTCCTGTTTTTTCTTTTATTCACTCGAAATTGAAAACAGATTTTGGTCTGCATATCTTATTACATTATTAAAGTGGTTCAAAGCGAGATGTAAAATATAAATGTTAACATGTACATTACAATTATAAAAATTTATAATTATAAAAATTTTCAATTATAAAATTATAGTTATATAAATGTTAACATTAATATATTTATTAAATTATTTATTCAACAAATCAATGAGATCTCTTCTAATTTTCACATAGCATCGGAAGATGAATTTAAGATTTTGTTTTGAGGAAAGAACAGGAGATATATATATATATATATATTTTCAAAAGATGTTTCTTCTTAAGACATAATAGCTGTAATTTGTCTAGTTGATCCAGGAGAAGTATCATGTTTCAAAAGCAGTCTCGAGCTTCCTCCTTCAGCAATCAAAGTGTGTCCGGCAATAACATGATCGTGTGTGCGTCTAATGATGATCGTCTCGTTCTCGATTTTACGTTACCTCGATCGAGCCGACCCGTCCAGCGTTGATCCGATCGCGTAACCAGCTACGCAACCGATCCATCCCGTCCGCGATTCGGCGAACCGCGATTACCACAACGCGCAGCCCGCATGTATATAAAATATCCATCCACACATCAATATACCTGCGTCATAAATTTTCGCGCACCAGGTGCAGGCGCCGCGACGTCGACCATCCGCTTCCTCCCACCAGCGGCCGCAGAATCCTCGGATTAGCGCGTGCGTAAACCTCCATAGGTTCACTCGTAGGATTGTATGCGTGCACGGGCGTGTATGTCACTGTTGATGATATGTCTGCATATGTGTGGCGCGACTGATAGAGAGGGATAGATCTTTTTGTAAAGAAAGACGAAGTATGAGAGAGAGAGAGAGAGAGAGAGAGAGAGAGAGAGAGAGAGAGACGAG